TCCTTGTTCTATGACCCGTGTGCCCTGCACCTGCCCAGAACATCCTTTTCTTTTGTCTTTATCTGGTTTACTCCCATTATCCTTCCTCTAGATGTAGAATACCTGAACCTTCCTGTCACAGTACTTACCTTCCTCAGCGACTGCTGCTTCTTCCCCAGTGTTCTGTAGTATCTATAATCACATTTATCATGCCCACCACTGGAGTACAGGAAAAGGAGTCACTGACAGGGCCCACTGCTGTCACCTGAGACTTCTGCACCCTTCCAAATTGCCATCCATGCAATAGACACTCTCTTATCTTTTTCTCTAACTGGGCCTTTGAGAAACATCTTTTTCTTCAGTGGTTTTATCTAATTCCAAAGCATTCAGTTCTAGTCACAAATATTTATTTTCCCCTAAATATTAATATACTTTTCTACCCTTAAGATATGACACATCAGGGGCTGGAGAGATTGCTCAGTGGTTAAGAACATTGGTTGTTCTTGCAGAAGACCTGGGTTAGAATCCCAGCACCTACATGGCAGTTAACAACTGTCTGTAACTCCAGTCCCAGGGGATCCAACAGCCCCTTCTGACCTCGACAGGTGTTGCACGACACGGGTGCACTTACCTACATGCAAGCAGTACAAGTATACACATAAATAAAAATAATAAATAAAAATTTAAAAAGTTTTTAAAAAGATATGACACATCACTAATTTGGATTTCACTAATTCAAAATTCATGACTATTGGACCCAATAACAGTTGAGTAAAAATTTAGTAATATTATCACTGTGGATATTACAGTTTTCACTCACAAGGAAAGAAAACAAATTAGGATTTGTGAATAAGGGATTTGACTTTCTTTGCTCTCTTCAATGTAGTTCTTTTTACAAAATAAAATATTTTTTCAATTATGGTAATTTTAAGATACAAGTGATGAACTGAAGATTTACATTATTTTATTTGTTCTACTTTTATTCAAGTATGCATAATAAAATGTTTTTTTAAATTTTCAACTTCGAGAAAACATTGTCTCAACTAGTGGAAACTTACAACAGAAGTTGAAAACTTAGAACTTCCCTGAGGAAGGTGCACACTGTTCTCCTTCACTCCCCTCCAGTTCTGAGCCTTTTCCTGAAGAACAGGGAAAACCCATCACCCTAGGCACTATTAGACTAATGTGCCCACTTGGAAAGAGATGATACAGGGAATGAGACAGATCCTAGATTGTGTGAGAGTGGGGGTTGTAGGTCACAAAACTGAAAAAAATCATTAGGGAAGGAAGGGAAAAGAGAAACACGTGATATGAAAGCAGAAGAGCACCACTGAGGGAGGAGGAGGAGGGCAGGAGGAGGAGGGGGAGGAGGAGGGCAGGAGGAGGAGGGCAAGAGGAGGAGGGAAGGAGGAGGAGGGAAAGAGGAGGGGGAGGAGGGGGGGGAAGGCAAGTGGAGGAGGATGGTGCCTGGCTATCAGGAACCACAGACATAAAGGACGTTTGGGGTGTGGCACATATTTAGTTTATGTGAGAACCAATGATCCATGGAGAAGAGGGATGGAGGAAAGAAGAAGGGAAGGAAGGAGGAGGGAAAGGGAAGAAAAACGGAAAGAGAAAGGGAGGAGGGAGGGAAAGGAAGAGGAAGAGGGGAGGAAGGATGGGAGGGAGGAAAAGAAAAGAGGGAAGAAGGGAAGGGAGGAGGAAAGAGGAAGGAAGGAAGGAAAGAAGGAAGAGGAGGAGGGCAGGAGGGGGAGGGAAGAGGGAAGGAGGAGGAGGAGGGAAGGAGGAGGAGAGAAGGAGGAGGAGGATGGGAGGAGGAAGAGGGTGGGAGGAGGGAGGAGGGTGGGAGGAGGGCTGAAGGCCTGGGGAGAATGATTGACAAAATGTAGGAAAACACCATAATGAAACTCATTAATTTCTATATTCAGTTAAGAAAACCACAAAAAGGAAGGAAGACAGGAAGGATGACTTAGAGCCGGGACAGCAGGTCCAGGTCTGTGTTTGGAGAAGCTTGGATGAGCTGGACAGAGTGCACTAGGGTCTCCCTTTGCAGCCTTCAGTGATTTTTCTGGACTGGAAATCTGTCTGTCCAAAGTCTTCTCTTCGGCTCCTGACCCCCACTTGTCAATCTCACGTAAACCTTTAAGGCTGGGAGCTCGGTCTTAAACTTATGCTACCAAGATTATATGATTCATCAATGTAGAATTAAAGACTACATGTACCTACTGCCTAGGCTGTAATGCTTTCTCATCCGACTCTGACATGGCACTGCTAAAACAGTACACTCGTGATAGCTTTGGAATGGCAATCTGCCTCCACATATTCCTTTCCTTAAAGACATTCATTATGATTTAAATCAGCATTTACATGGAGAAGTTGCAGAAATAGGATGTTCGTTAAAGAATGGAAAAACTATTTCTAACAGTATTATCAGAAACAGGTGTACAGTAGCAGATTCATATTTTGAATTTACCTCATTCAAGATATAATCAGCATTTTATATTTATCATTCCATGAAGCAGGCACCATTTTTTTCAGATAAACTGAGGCCCAAAGAGTCATTTGCCCAAGATAGTACTTGAGCTGGGCTTTGAAGTCAAATAGCCACACTCCACTGCCAATTATGTCAATTTACTGTAGTACTTTCCAACAACACATATTGCAATGTGTTTGTGTTTAACAATGCGAGTAAATGTTTATGTCACATGTCTAATTAGAAAAAGAAATATAATCACAAATAGATAAAGAGAAGTCAGAAAGAGGGAAGAGTTACCTGGACATTTATAAAAAGGATCTCATGGTTTAGAAACTAATCCTCTTAGTGTTTGTAAAGGTCTTTAGGAGGGAAACTATTTTTTCCTATTACTTTCCATTTTTTAAAAGTAAGCAAGTACTGATTTTTAGTGGGGAGTTCAAACCTTCCCCCTAGAAGTCCCCACACTCCTCTCTAGCCTGTGTTCTGCTTTTGTTCCCAATGTCCACATTTCCCCCGGCATCCTTTCTCTATTGTTTCTGATACTTTCATAGGAAATTCCTCTTCTTCCTTTTCATATTGTATTCCCTCCCTTCTTCCCTCCCACAAGGCTCATGAATGAAAGAGAAATGCCCGCAGTCCTCACTACCTGATGGGCCCTCACCCTCTGAGAATGGACAAGAGGAGAAGGGACACCTAGTAGAAGGCCTTTTCTAGAAAAACATAGAACTGTATTTAGTCTTTCAAATGTCATGTAACATTATTGAATTAAAAACAAAATCTTTGACTTTAAAATGTAAGGCTAGCTGGCCAGGCTAGACATTCTAGATTTCTTCTGACTCCCCTTCCCAGCATCCTCCTTTCCTTGCCCCTTTTTTTCTGCCTCCTGCTGGTTAGTGACAACCTTTGGGCCTCTGTACTGGCAGCCCTGTCTGGGGGTCCCTTTTCCTGCAACTTGTCCTCTTTCCTTTCTTGCTCTGCCTTCTTCCAGGCTTACACTTCTTTGTTGAGTATAATGCTGCCTTCTATCAATCAGCTGTCAGGAGGCGAGCCTCTTGCTGCCATACCCAACTGATGGGCTGGGGAACTCATTCAAGGCCACCTCCATGGCCATACCTGATTTCCACGGAGCAGGAGCAGCGATACTGATGCCTTAATGAATGGAGTCAAGAGCTCCTTGTGCTTTCCGAGATCACTTATCATCCTACTGAGATTCAACTCCTAGACACCTGTTAATTAGGTTGGTGACTAACCAGGTCAGAGGGCCTTGTCCTGTCTAGGGAATTCTTTCCTGAATTTTCAGTTCCTTACTTGGACAGACTGCATATTAAGAAGAATATTAAATTCATCTAAATTTTTATTCTATGTATTCTATTGCTTTCTGTTTAGCAATACATGTCCATTTGATAATTTGTTCTAGTAATAAAATAAAAATAAATATAAAACTAGCACCTTTTGCTTGTTTCTTTTCAAATCAGGTAATATTTAAAGTGGCAATCATGTCTTACCACCTAGAGGTAAATGTGAGTTTTGAATGTACCTACTAACTGTTTAGAACTTTTCAGTGTCCAATGGCTGGCCAACTAGCATTTGCCATGAGTTTCCTTTACCCTCTCTGATCAGGCCCGCTCCTTGAGCCTCACCACAGGCTCCTTCCCATTTCCTCCTTGGCTGTGCCATCTTCACCTGTGCATCTCATCCTCAAGTTGAAAACTCCAGCTTCATCCTACCTATCTCAGCGAGTTTCCCGTACCTCACCTGTACACAGATGGTACATTCCACATCACAAATCCAACCACACAAAATTGTCTTCTAACCTATGTCATCTTCCTACCTATATCCCTCACCGTCAGGCTCTGAGATGATGCCTGAGTTTCTCTAGAGCCTCGTGGTATGGTGGACAGTCAGTGCACAGTCTGATAAACAGCTACGAACAAATAAGTGGTCTATTGAGTTGCTTCCTTTTAACTCAGTGAACATTCTCACTCAGTCCTTTAAAGATCAAAATCTAATTTTTTTGTAGGTTCCTGATCTATAGGTCAATGGTACTTTACATGGACAGCCTGAAGATGTTTTAAAATCTCCCCAATAGTATCCTACATAGTCCCCAGAAACTTGTGACGTTGGGGTGCCAATTAAGACAGATTTCCCCCCAAAGAACCTTTTGGTTCCAGCCCAAAGCTGTTGAGTTGCTGAGCTTTATTTACTTTAGCAAGCTTACATAATTCATGCTGCTAAGTGAGGCTTCCTCATACATCAGTGCTCCAATCGCCTATTGCTAATGTGCCCAAGTGATAAATGTCTTTCTACACCTTCTAGTGATGAAAATTTTGATTGATTTGACAAAGGAGCTACGAGAGGCCCCATGGCTTCAAGGATCAACATTTGTAGACTCCAGCAAGAGTCTTTACTAGAAAGAAATAGTGTGTGACAGTGTCTTAAGCAGAGACAAGTTTACTGCTGGACAGCCACCACCTCTTTGCAGACAAATAGATATTTGTGGGGTTTTCAAATTGTCAACCAACCTGGGTTGCAGATTCATGCTCACCTCTCATCACATTTAATCAGAATCACACTGTCTGTCCCGATCCCTAAGGCTGCAGCTCCCTTCTTCAGAGAAAAATGACTCTGTTAAAAAAAAAAAAACATATTTGTGATTAGTTCCATATGAAGACAAGATTCATTTCTCTGATGGTCTTCATTTTCTTTTGCTCCTCAAATACCTGGGCTCCTCTGAGGTCAGTGTAATCACTCGTGTCTTCTTTGTTTTGTGTTGTTACTATACATGTTCTTTAATAAAGACAATATTTTAATTCTTTGTGAATTTCATATACGTGTACTATGTATTTTGATCATATTCATTCCCCACTTTCTCCCTAACTCCTCCAAGATCCACCCCTTACCTTCCCAAATTCGTGTCCTCTTTTTTGTTTTTTAATATAACCCACCGAACTACCAGGAGAGACACTCTTGAAGAAAACTGAGTCTCTCTGCTCCAGCAGCCATGAACTGTCAGTAGTGCCTCAGCTGAGAGTGGAGCATCATGAGCCCCTCTCTACTCCATGCTGGGATGCTGACTGCCTTGGTCTTGTGCAGGAGCCACAGCTGCTGTGAGTTCATGAGTGCAGTGGTCCTGTCATGTCCAGAAGATGCCATTTCTCCCTAGTCTTCCCCAACCTCTGACTCACACAGTCTTTCCATTTCTTCTTTCATGATGGTCTCTGAGCTTTGGGGTAGGAGTGTGGTAAGATGTCCTGTTGGTGGCTGAGCACTCCATAGACACTTAGTCTTTCTGCTTTGACTGGTTCTGAGTTTCTATGTTAAACACTGTCCACTACACAAAGAAACTTCTCTGATGGGGTCTGAGAGCTGGACTAATCTATGGGTATAGAGATATGAATTTAGAGGGCAGTTTGATACTATGTCCATTTAGAAAAATGATAGTAGTAGGATCACCCCTGCAGCCCATTAGCTCCTTGGCCACATGTTTTTGGCCAGATGTACAGTATGTGTTTCCTTCTGTGGAGTATCCAATCAGAAAGGGGTTAGTTATCTCCATAAACTTCCTGCCAGTATTTCACCCCTAGGCATGTCTTGACACGCTGGTTGTTTTTGTAGCTTGCAGGGTGCACAGCTGGGTATTCACTCATAGCTTTTATAATATTATAGTGAAGCACATCACTGCACATTCACATAACATAAACAGTGTGTTGACCATCTCTAAGTATAGCCATTTCCACATTCTTGACTATTTTCACACTGTTGTGCAACAGTTACCACCATCTATGCCCCTGTAAAACAAAACTGTGCTAATTTAAACAATCACCCCCCACCTCCAAGCCCCTGGCCTGGCAACCACCAGTCTGTTCTCTATCTCTGTGAACTGCACTATTTTAGGCATTGCATTTGCCACATTTTGCTTATGCATTCATCTTGCCATGGATACCTGGGTTGCTTCTTTTGGCTCTTTGGAAAGTTCTGCTAGAAACACTGGTTTACAGATACTTCTTTGAGATGCTGTTTTCAATTGTCAAGGTACATATCTAGAAGTAGAATTACTGGATCATATTTTTAATTTGTCTTTAATTTCTGAAAAACCACTATATTGCTGTTTACAACTGCTATGCCATTTTACATGCCAAGCCACATCACACAAAGGTTCCAATTTCTCCACATCCTAACTAACCAACATTTATAATTTGCTTGTGTAGGAGACAGGTCCTCCCAATGCAACCTAGGCTATCATTAAATCTCTGGTCTCATGTGATTCTATTACCTCGGCTCCCTAAGTAGCTATGACTACAGGTAAGAGCCTGTGGCTGGCTTGTGATTTTCTGGATTTTGAGGTCAGTCATCCTAACAGATTGTACCATTGATGTGCATTCTTCTAACGAATGACATAGACCCTCTACTCATGAACCTCTTAGTCTCTTGCACATCTTTGGAGACATGCCTATCCAAGTCCTTCGCCTATTTTTGGATGGGAGTGTTTTGAGGGTTATTCTTGTTGAATTCACTTGTGTTTCTTGAGGAAAGATAAAAATACATTGAAAGTTGTACCTGGATCTGATATCCCAGCACAGAGTCACTCTGAACCAACTTTGTGTATGTGTGTGCTCATGTGCATATAAGAGTGTGTGCCTGCTTCAGTATGTATGTGGGGGTCATAGCACAACCACGAGCTCACCTTCCACATTCCAGAGATAGGGTCTTGCCTGTTGTTCAGTGCCTCATAGCCAGGCTAGCTGGTCCTGAGTGATTTTCCTGTGTTTATACCTCCCTCTCCCAGTAGGGACATGCTGAGGTTGCAGACACTCGTGCCACTGATTTCAGATTTTATGTGGATTCTGGAGTTTTGAACTCAAGCTGCTATGCTCATGTGTTTTATCCACTGAGCCATCTCCCCAGCCTTGAACCAGCTTTTCACAAATACTTAGCAATTGCCCACAGTAGTGATGCATTATATGGCTCTGAGACATTTTGCTCTCTAAGGCTTCCTTTTTCCTTCCTTCCTTCCTTCCTTCCTTCCTTCCTTCCTTCCTTCCTTCCTTCCTTCCTTCCCTCCCTCCCTCCCTCCCCTCTTTCTTTCTTCCTTCTTCTGTATTTTGTTTTTGTTGATCCTCCCCCCACATATGTTCGGTTCTCTCCTGCATGTAAGATCCCTTTTCTCCTCTTTTGTTCCCCTATGTATTTTCAAGAGGCTACATTCGATTTTTTCACAAATTTAGTGACATTGTGTGTGGTCAACTATGAGGAGTTGACTCTTAATCAAGCACTCTTCCTCCAGAGCTCTTGAAGGTGCTGTATGTTCTGGAAGTGGGCAGGAAGGACGCGTCAGTTGCTGGCTATGGAAGAGCAGGTCGAGCTGACAGCTTGCTGCCCACTTTGTTTGCTTACTGCCTGGATTCTGGTTCTTGATGGCTGTAATCACTATGCCATTTGGAGAGCTGAGAAAGACTAACCTAAGCCCAGCTGTACTGCATCTGCCCATCAGCCTCCTACTATTAACTACAGATCATTAAGCTGTCCAAAAGGAGAGCTGCTTCCTCAATTTACATCTCCAAAGGGCTGCTGAGTGGAATTTTAAGTCACAGTTCCAAAGAGGGCATGCTCTCTTCAAATACCCAGTTTCAACTCATCTGAATTCTTAAATATGCAGCACACTAATGCCTAACATGCATATTTCTAGTGGAAATGTCTAAGAAGCCAAGAAATAAAATTTATAACAGCAACAAATAACATCAGCTAACACAGGAGACCCACCGAAGGGAGGAGCTCTGAAAGCTCAGTGTAGCTAGAAGGAATGAGAAAGAGCCATTAGCTTCATTTTACAACCTCAGAAAAGCAAAGTGGATAACTGTTACTAAGACACCTGGGAGCTAGGAGAAGAAGCTCAACTGGGCCAGGGTTTGTAAAGATGTGTGACACGCCCCCCCCTCCACCCACTACCTCTACAAACCAGTGTTCTTGCCTTTGAATTTGGCAGAGGCTAGGGTGACCCGGAACAGAAGTTCTCAGTGCTGAGTCTCCTATGGCCAGGAGGGCACAGAACAGAGAGGCCTGCTGTCCCCAGTGGAAAAGCACAAACTCCTGAAATGATGCCCTTCAGTGACCAAGTGTTGAAGCACTGAGATGCAGATTGGCAAATTGGGGCAAAGAAAGAGATCAAATGGGAGAGGAATGTTCTCGCCTGGTCTTTAAGGAGGAAGAACAGGGATACATCTATAAATGAGGAGTAATTACAAGGGAAAATTGATCACTGTAAAAGATGCCACAGATTTAAGGAAATGCACATGCCCCAGCAGAGAGCTTAAAGATGTGATATGAGGCATGAAAAAAGAAAATTAGGCACAAGCACTGGCTATATTTTCAGGAAAGGGAGCAGAGAAATCTACCTAAGTGGTATCCACATATAGCAGGGTATTAATGGGGAGAAGGGAAATTGAGTGGGGTAGAGGACACTTAATAAGGAAGAAACAGTGGAGACAGGGTAAATAGTATGTTTTTCCTTTGCGTGAGACAACACGTGAAAATAATTTAAAATCCTTGGCTTCATGTAATGGAATCATTTGTTGTTGAACCAGAGAACAGTATCTAAAAGCCAATCTCCTTTCTGGATGCTGAGAAGTCTAGAAGGCAGATATCAAGCAAGAACTGGAGGATGCTTGAGAAGAGTAGAGGGTGCTGGGGACATGTAGCATAGGTGGACTTCATGTAGGAATAGCTGTGCCACATGGGGTTGGGGAAGATGGACTACTCTGGGTGACTTCAGAAGGCAAAATTCTGAACAAATTCAGAAGCTGCAAGGTTTCAAATTTGTCTCCCAGTAAAGAAGATTAGTATTAGTACTCTATGTTCATCAATAAGCATATTGCCCTGCTCTCTCCAGACTTGGAAAGCACAACAGACCTTTGACAGAATTCAGTATATACTTAGAACTAAGTCATATCTCCATTCAAGGGTAATAGATATCAAACACATTTGATTTTTATTTTAAACTAACCTAAAATTCAAGTTTGATGGAAAGTTTCATTCCTGTATTTTTAAACTAGAAGCAGCGATGCTACTGATGGTAACACTTCAGGACACAGGTATTGGCAACAATTTCTGAATAGAGACATTCCAGTACAGGAGGCTGCCCCAATATTGGAAAGTGATCGTTCACCAAATTAAAGGTTCTGCACAGCAAAAGAAGGTATCCACAGAATAAACTGACAGCATGCAGAATGGGAGAAAAGCTTTGCCAGCTACACATCTATCAAGAGGTTAACATCTAGAATATATAAGGAATGGCAGGAGGAGGAAGAGAAGAGAAGAGGAGGAGGAGGAGGAGGAGGAGGAGGAGGAGAAGAAGGCTCAGCTATTCCATCCATCCCTATGGCTATAGAGTGTGTGCCTTAAGTCTTTGTGTGTGCATGTATGTGTATGCGCCTATGCACACACATATATTTGTATGTGTGCACATGGTCAGTACTGAATGTCTTCCTCAATCAGTCTCTACCTTATTTATTTTTAATATTTTATTATTTTATTTTATGTGTATGATTGTATTGCCTGAATGTGTGTAAGTCGACCCATGTCGTGCTGTGCCCATGGAGGTCAGAAGAAAGCATTGGGTCTCCTGGAAC